ACATGCTTTCTCTCATTTGTGGCTTCTAAATCTTACATAGATACATAAAATCATGTGCTATGTCTGACATTAAAGTACATATTCTATCTGTCTAGAGAAACGAGGCAAACTAATGAAAGAGGAGTACAAAATGAGGCTAGGGAGGTATAATGGTGAATATGTTTAACATACAATGTATACTTTCCTGAAAACTTAAAAGATTAATTTAAAATACCAAATAAAAATATTTACAGAAAAAGTGGGCTGTTGAGCTGGCTTTCCTACTGGTACACACAGGCTCACCCCCTGTCTTCCTACCCAGCCCTCTTAGCCAATTCAGCATGGGCTTTCTACAGCTCCCTAGGCGCTCTCTCTTCACTGTTACCACTTCTTAAGAATACCCCTCTGTACATCCTAGCACTTTCTAACTCTTCCCCCATGTGCTTCCATTCTGCACGCATACACATAGCTACAGTTTTGTTCCTTCTCACTTTCTTCTCAGGTAGATCACCACATAAACAAAGACATCTTCAGATGGGGCATTAACTAGCGGAAATCTCAGAATTCTCACAGCATTATCTCTCCAAACCCACCAATACGGAGGATTATTTGAGTGATCAAAATTGTTTCCACAGCTCTACATGCCCATGATGTGTTTGAATGCCATGTCCTTTCTCAGTGGCCTTGCCCAAAGATACACATGCACACCCTTAAGGATAAGTGCTACCTCAGAGGTTCAATGTTCCCCATGCTCTGCACAAGGTTATCACTCCCCCAGATGCACAGAAAGACCACATAGTCTACCTCCTATGAGTATGTGCAGAAGTACATACATCCCACTCAGTGAATGTCTCCTACTCAACTCCATGCCTCCCTCAACTCTTTTTCATAGGTACAAACCCAGAAATCTTTATGCCCCTATTTCTACACACACACACACACACACACACACACACACACACACACACACACACACACACACACACACACACACACACACAGGGAGGGAGAGGAGGAAGAAGAGGAGGAGAAGAAAGGAGAGAGGAATGAGAGCAAGTTGGGGAGACACAAGTTGGGGAGACAAGTTGGGGAGACATAAGTTGGGGAGACAGAAGAACTTAACATCATAACCTTTCCTAATTCATAATCCACAACTTCCCCAAAACATACATACGTCAAGATGTTTCACTTTGGGAAGAAACCTAATTCTCCCTGTCACTATGCCTCTGCATGTATGACATTTTAGCCTTGGATCAATTTTTCTTACACAAAAACCATCGAAGGTACTCAAGAAGGGTTGTTCCTATGTTATAAATTAGGTATCAAATTATCACACCGTATCAAAAATGTATACAATTAGACATAAAAGAAGAAGAGCACTTGCCTAGTCTGAGTATTTTCTGGGTTTGATTCCCAGAAGTGTACATATGCAAAGAGAAGAGCTACCCCTCTATCTGTACATCTCCCTAATCCTGGCCCTTAGAAGATTTTGCATATGTCTTAATGATCCTTAACACCCAATAATAGTTATCTTTACACACAAGGGCCACTCCCGGGGGTTCTATCTAGCACTGAGCTGACCATTCCCATCACTAACATCCCCAAGCTTATGTATATTGTTGACCATATCTCTTTAGTCCGATATCCCTGTAAATGTCCCCTCAGTGACAGCACAGAGCCAATTCTAAATGGCTCTCACTGCCTAATCACAAGCCCCTCCACAGGCTCTCACATAGACACCTCCTGATCTCATGGGTCTTAGTTGATTCTGCTTTCTCTTCAGAAAACACATCCAACACTATGGCCTATTTGCGATTCTCTTCATTGTCCCTACTTTTCTCTTACATGCACATCTAACCCCACCCCAGCTGTTGCCTGTGCCATTCCTCTCCCTTTTGCTATTTACAAAGAACCCCAACCTCAACCTTCCTTGTCCTAAGAGATTTTTCTGTCACTCTTTCCCTTTCAGGTGTGGACACACAGACACAGACACAGACACAGTCACACACTTGTCACTCACCCTTGACACTCCCTCTTGAGTTTTTCTACCACAACCCTTCCACACCTATTCTCATAAGGCAAAAGCGACAGCTCTTCCCATGAGCTCATTCAATGACACGCTTGATTCTGTCTTACTCCTCAGTGGGCCCGGCCTTTTCCTTCCTTTTGCCAGGCTCTGGCACACAGACCATGCGCCCCTGCCTCTGGTTGCCACATGCATGCAGATGTGTGCCGCCCCATAGTGACTGTTCTACTTGCTCCATGTCTGCCTCCTCCTCCTCAAACTACCCTCAGAGAAGCAGATTCATGCACCTTACTCTCCATCACCAAGTCTCCCCTGCATCCTCTCTGGGCTTCAATCTCATAGACTCGGATGAATGCTTAAAATCCAAACAACTCTGTATTTTCTTTTCATCTTATCTCCAGTTTCTCTGATTTAATGCCCTGGGTTCCAATACACACAGCAAAAACCAGTTACCCCAGTCAGCCTCCATGTATACACAGAAAGTGCTCAATGTACATGAAAGCGTGGGCCCTAATACATATATGGTCTTGCTCTCATCTCACTACCCAGGGCTCACACACAGGTACTCCTGTGTGCTACTTACATGAAGCTGTGAGCAGTCTGACAGTGGTCCCTGATGCTTATCTACTCCAGTCCAAGATGGAAGCCACCTGCCTTCCATGTGTCTGGTTGTAGAAGACTCGCCATATACTATCTAAATCTTGCTCCTTTCTCAGCCAGAAGAGCACAGTGGTATGAAACTAAATTCCACCTACCCAGGAGGCTGAAATAGGGGACTCACTTGAACCCCCAAAAACAACAGCAGTGTAGACAACATAGGGAGACCTCCACCTCAAAAAGAGTTAAAGCTGAGGGGAGTGCGGCATGCACTCACAAGACGAAGGCCACAGGGTGTCAAGTCTGAGATTACACTGTGACACTCCATCTTGAGAGGTGAGAGGAGAGGCAGACGAGGGCTGAGAGGAAAGGAGGGGCCAATCAAGAATGGAGGGAACCAATGACAGAAGAAACAAAGCGGGTTTCAGGGATGCTTACCAGGGCCTACTTGCCATGCTGAACCCTGCAAAGCCTCTCTTTTCCGGGAAGCGATCCTAGTATTCTCAAAAACATAGGCTCCCTTCATGAGAGAGAAAGGCCCCCACTCCATTCTCTCATCATCATCATCATCATCATCATCATCATCATCATCATCATCATCATCGTCGTCGTCGTCATCGTCTTCGTCATCTTCATCAACATCTTCATCCTCATACACTTCCTCTTCTTCCCCTTCCAAGTCACTCTCCTCTACATCTTCCTCCATCTGATCTTGAAAGACCTTTTGCTCCTCCTCTTCCTCTTCCTCATCCTGTACCTCCTCGTTCTCTTCCTGCTCCTCCCCCTCGTTCTCTTTTTCCTCCCCTTGCTTGGCATCCTTAAGGCTGCCTTGGTCCTTCTGTTGAACATTTTCTTCAGACTCACAGTTGGCACCAGATGGTTTTAAGTCTTGATGTAAGGTATCCAATGTGTATGGACTTTTCCCAGTGGAAGAGGACGCTGCGCTTGTCTTTGCCGCATCATTCTCTCCATTCTGAGTATAAATGGAACAGACACGCAGCAGCTTCTCCTGCTCCCCATCTGGCAAGACCTGCCCCATGGCTTTGAAGACTCTAAGCAAACGGAGGGATGGAGTAGGAAAAGGTCAATGTCTCAAGTTACTTCATAGCCAGACACTCTGGGGTTTGAACTTATTCTCTGAACTTCCACACCTGCCTCTAAAGGCAGCACAACAGGACACAGAGAATGCAAGACAGGACTGCATATGCTAGTTCAGCTCTCTGGTACATCTCTATGCTTTCCTTCTAGTCTCATTAAAATCACGACAATAACAGAACCTACTTTTGAGGGTTCTTGGGAGGAGGAAATAAGAAAGCTCACCTAGAATGGCTGGCAGAGTGTCTAGCACACAGTGGCAGACAATGAGTGAAGCTCCTAGTCTGTACTGAAACAATACATAAATATACCAACTAGCCTAAATAAATAGGCACACGGGGCTGGAGTCAGAATGCAAGAACACTCTCTCCTTCGGGCCTAACTGAGGAATCTGTCCTGAGGGCCAAGGATATGGTGAGAAACGTGCTGGGCTTCTTCTGTATGGAACACAATGTGTGATTCCTTATGGGAACAGCTACAGCCCAGCCTGGAATGGAGGGAAAGAAAGAAAACAGCAGCAGTTGACGAGACAAAGCCAATGTGGAAGGGAGGCCTGATGAGCACCGTGAAATGACTGTGCCTGCCAGAGGAGCTAAGGGGAAGCAGAGAGTACAAGGAGGGAACAGAGACCGGGGAGGGCTTCATGTAGGTGAGGCCCAGGTGGCCCAGGGACAAGAGGGAGCACACTGCCTGTGGCCAGAGTAGCCTGGCTGGAGGGCAAGGCCTGTGCTGGGAGCTGTGGGAAGAAAAGAAGGCTGGGAAGGGAAGTGTGTGCATCACGGGGCGGGCCACCTGCCAACTCTGAGGACAGGTCAAAGTCGCCATTTCTGAAGATCGCCATGTTAACCACATGGAGGATGGCCAGGGCAGGGCAGCCTAGAGGCAGGAAGACCAGGGAGGCACCTGTTTTCACAGTTCAAACCAGTGGCTTAGGGAGGACCTAGGGTACTGTTGGTAGACACAGCATGAAGGAAGCTGTCGAGGACAGACACACAGAGAGCACAGCTTGGTGACCAACGGGAAGGGGCCAACACAGGAGAACTCAACAAGATGATACTGTGCACACAACAGACGCTGCTAACAACAAACCCACTGACAGATACAGAGCTGCTGGGGGGATGAGGGTGAGCACACCTCACAGAGCCCGGCCCCTGAGAGGTAGCCACCAGGCACTGTGGGACACACGGCAGGATGGAGGGATGGGGCACGTCCTTCTAGAAGTGTAGAATGTGACTATGCATGTTTTGCAGAGGTAGCACAAGCAGCGCATGCAGACTGGTCACATATGGCCGGCCACTGGTCTCTGGGGACAGGGCTGGGATCTACTGACTAGACTGTGAGTCCCTGTTGGCAGGACTCATTTCCTATTGCAGGAGGACACTGGTTCAAACTGAACACATCGCCTGGCTGGGGGAAGCTCCTGAACTGCTTACAACTTTATGTGAGGAAAGGCCAGGAAGAAAGCCTACCCTCTCACTGTCGTCCATTAGCGGGATTAATAATAAATATCCCCAGGCACTTGATGTTGGCAAGATGCCTTGTCACTGCTGCTCATTACCCATCCGCTATCCCTAGCTTCTAGCCTGCCCATTAGGTGCTGTGCTGATAGGAATCATAAAATGCAGGCTTTCTGCCTGTCACAGCCTGGGACTGAGGTCACGGGTTTAGGTAGAAAGAAAGCCGAATTTAGAACTACAGAACTCAGGTCCTGATTCTCATCCCATTATCAACAAACCACTGTGATTTTAAGGTACTTCAATCTTCAGTTCCTAGATACTTTCTGTCAAAATGTATTATACTTCCACCTCCCAAGATTGTTGTATCAAATTAAAGTCTCTTGAAAAAAGAAACACGATGCCTGATACTTTTAGAAAAAAACAAAAACAGAGTTCCGTATTCTCATAGTAACAGGTTTTCTGCCATAGTTCAATCTATATGGAACATTATGAAAAGCCTCAGACCTAAGGGAGGCTACAGGGAATTTTGGCCCTTACTGCAGCATACCTAGGCACAACCCCTCTATTTCCCACTCTGTATAATGGATGATTTGATGTAAAATCATTGATTATCTGAGAAAGGTTAGGATCTGTGCACAAGGAATCGTACCCAAGTGAGCCGCTGTTACTGCTGGCATGTGTCGCATCCCTCTGATATGCTTGGGTTGGGAGAAGATCTCTGTGGTCCAGACTTCTCCAAGACCAGCAGCTTCCATTCTGCAGGCACTTAGGATTGGAAAGTACCTTGAAGGCCATCTAATCAAACCTCTCCATTCTGCTCTTTTCAGTCCCTCCCCCAAGTACACCATACACATCCTACATTCCTTCTATACTTCTGAAACTTCCTTGATTCTCTTCTTGAAATGCACAAATGCTTTTCCTTTGATGTTCTAGACTGACTCCTTCACAAGGTGCTAGTTTGCTTCCCCATGTCTTATTCATGTCACTTATAGTCCGGACCTCACACATCTGGTAATGTGGCTGTACATCTTGGTCTAATCTCCTGAAGTTCTTGCCTTGGCTGAATTTGTCTGTAAGGCCACATATTTTATTGTATAAATATGACTGTAGCCCAGATGCCACTAAACGTTCAAGAAAGACTTTCGGATCAAATAGATGGATCAAGAAATCAACCCAGTCTTGGCATCCAGTCTCCCACTTCACTCATTCCTCAGACACTGGGTCATAGCCTTTCAACACAAGCACTGTTGGTAAGGAGACAGCAGAGGATATTTCATTCAGTTCAAGGGCATATTCTACGGCCTGCTTGGTGCCTGGATTTGTGTGATATGCTCGAGTACAGATAGCTAATGCAGAGCTCTTGCCCTTGCAAAGCTTAGTCGAGGAGAGGGAAGGAGACACGGTGGGGAGGGGAATAGACACAGCAACATAAATCTCAAATTTGGAAAATATTTAGGAGTCAACAGAGGATAGACTGTGTTACTATCAAGTGAGATCTGTAACAGGAAAGAAGATCGCTCTCGTATTACACTGCCCATCCAAAGGCAGGCGTTGAACATGCATGCAGTTGAATGGAAGAAGCTGGATTGTAAAGGAAAGGGTTGGACTAAGGAGATATGGGCTGAGAAGTTTATATGGATCAGGAATAAGCACTAGCATTTCCAGGACGGTTTGGCATTCAGCATTAATGTAACAGATAAGGAATTTAGGAGGCCTGGTTTGGATACTTAGGCAGCTTTGGGACTGAGTGCCAACAAAACTGCAGTAGGCTAAGGAGGAAGAGGAGTGAGATAACAAAGATGTTAAGTGAGAACCACCTTTTGGAGACAGGAAAAGAAAATGCCAAGCTGGTTAATAAGCAAACAAAACTATGCATGGTCAAAGCAGATGTTGCTTGTGTTATTACTCTTAAAGATGAAAACAATAAAACCTCAGACACATTCACAAAGGGTAAGAAGCAGCTAAGAAAGGGAGAAACTGGGGTGGGACCCCGATGATGCTGGCAGAAGAATAGGTTTTGAGACAGGGCAATGCCACCTCAAAGTGAGATGGGTGGTGTTGACAGTACAAACATATCAGCTCAAGAGGACTCAACCTCAAGTTGAGGGAGACCTGGAGTATGCCTTCATGTACTGGAGGAAGCTAGGGTGAAATGGAGGGACTTGAGGTCAATGGTATGTTTTTAGAACAGTCCAGGATCAGAGACAAAGTGGTCAGTAAACAAATGCCCAGACACAGAACTGAAGCGTGGCATGAGACGAAAAATTGTAACTCTACAGTGGCAGCAATGAGCAGTACTTTCCTTCGTTTTTCAAGGCTATGTGTTTTTCTCAGGGAGAACTCGGCTGGCTACCCAGGCTGAGGAATGAAAGAAAAAGAGCAGGGAAGCCAGTCCCAGCTTGGGAGTTTGCAAGTCAGACACTGCCAAAGGATCACTAGAACAGAAGGTGCTAAGAAGTGATTAACGACAGACAAGGCTGAGGAAGCAAGAGGAAGGAAAGAAACAGAGGGATGGAGGTTGGGACACAGGTAAAAAGCCAAACAAGACATGGTGGTCACCAAGTAGGACACTGGGATGTCAGCTTTCAGAGGAAAGCCCTGAATGATGGAAATATGTTGCTGTATATAGTGGAGAATGAAAACCTCTGAGTTGAAGGAATGCAGGGGTCAAATGGGTCACTCAAATGAAACAAACACTGCTCTAGGAAGCAGGAAGAGAACGAGGTACTAAAGGTTCCAGAATAAGGAAGGGAGCTTAGGGTCAGGAACCGACAAAGATTGACCACACGACCTAGAGAGAACTGAGTCAAGGGGACTCACAAGAGATACGGTTACCATGACAGGTAAGTCCGGAAACACAAATATAAGTGAGTGTCTGGTTAAACCTTCACTCTGCTAAGGAGGCATCGGGGCTTGCTGAGTAACTAGGGAAGGTGTACTTTGGGAAGCCAATAGAGGAGAGCACTGGGCTTGGAGTCAGAAGACCTGGGTTCAGTAATAAACACCAGCTACCATTTAGTGTGTCCTCGCTCTATGCAGGCCACTATGCTAAGCACTCTCACACCAGACTCAGCTCAGCCAAGTCTTAAACTGAATGATCATAGGCAGCAGCACCCTACCCCTCCCCTTCCCAGACTCAGTTCTCCATCTGTTACTGGGAAGAAGGGGATACTAGGGTAGACATCACTAAAAGAGCCTTCCAATTCAGCCAGTCTAATGCTGTGAGGCCCCGAGGCTTCCAGGGGCATACCCTATGACCAGATGGAATTAAGACTTACAGCTGAAGGAGTTGGGGGCTGGCCCAGCAAGGTGAGCCCAAGCAGGACTCGACCACCTGGGGCCAATCAAGGGAGGCCGAGCAGTTGAACAGCCTCCAGCTCTTTCTTGCTTCCCACTGGCTTGCAGAAAACCTCCGAGCATTCCGTCCTGAAACAAAACAGAGGCTTAAGATAAAAAGCCATGTGAGGCCTCCACCCAGTCTTTGGCTTCAAAAATTAGGCTCAATCCTTCATCCCCCAAATATCTACCTTATTTTCCAACTACTCAAAGTGCCCAGTTTACTTGGCTCTGAGAAGAAAAAGGAAGAGGGAGATTTATCCACTATTCCCTACAGGACTCTCTTGGGCAACTTTAACCCTTTAAGGAAGCTGCCCACATGGTAGTACTTTAGAGCAGAGCTGAGGACACTGGCATGCGCTTCTGCCTGTGATGCCTGGGCCCAGGGACTAGGACTAGTTTTCCTCACCAGTCTTGGTGTTGGCCACGATCAGTTCAACAGTCCATCTAAGGATGTAGGTAGGTCGAATCCCACTGTTCCCCAAGGTAGACAACTCAGAGAACATCCTCTCCAGCAGGGCCTGTGTGAAGGTCTGGGAGTGCAGACCTCGGAGCAGGGGCTGCCAGAACTGAGAGAATGGCTTTGGCACCAAGACGTCATTCAAGTCGATGTTTTCTGGTTTGTGAGGGATACCCGTTGATGGACGGGAAGGGCAATGGGATCAAGAGCAAGAGAATGAGAGAGCACCAAAGCAAGCCAGCAAGAGGGGGCGGGGAAAAGAGAAGAAAAAAATGCACACCAAAGAGAAAGAACAGACACACCCAAGTCCCAACAACAAGAATTGCCATTGCAGAACAAGAGGAAAGAAAAGCAGAACAGCAGGGAAAGAGAAACCAGTTAGTATCTGGTAAACAACAACTGATACAAAACCAAGTATAAAAGAAAAAGAGCTCTGTTCTGACTCCAGCTTTGTCAATAACTCACTGTGTGAATTTGGTTCAGTAACTTCCCCTTTCTTGACCTCAGTCTGGCCATCTGTAACGTGAGGGTGTTGGACTAGATGACCTCGCAAGGCCCTTCCAATGCTGCTGCTCTAGCTCTCTAGCTAGTGGCTAAATCATGTTTAACAAGGCACAACAACAGGGTTAAGAACCCCCACCCGACCCATCCCAACCCACCTTAACCAGCTGAAGGCCACTTAAAGCAAGTCCCACTAGCGCACAGCAGCGGGGCTGCCTATGCTGTTCAGCCAAAGGGGCTGAAGTTTCAGGCCCTCCCCACCTCACACTCCAGCCTACTTCTGGAGTTCCCACACAAGACACACAGAACCCCAAGACTGCAGTGAACATTCAGGACCCTACCTTCATACTCTATCTGCAAAGCTGCCAACTGCTCCAAAGTGGGAATGAGGAAGCCGTCATCCAGAAAAGCATCCAGCACAGCATTCCTAAAGCAAATGGACAGTACTTTAGAGAGGCATGGTTGCACATGCCTGCAATTCCAGCTATTCAGAGACAAAGGAGACCAAGGCAAAAGCAGAACCACCCAGGGTAACACAGCCAAAATGAGTCTCAAAGGGGAAAAAGGTGACCTTTGCAAATATGCTGGATTCACTTACTGGTTATTTAAAGTTGAAATGACTTAAGGGGCTTGGACCACTGGTTATGGCTCAATGGTACAAGACTTAACATAGTGTGCATATAAGGGCCAGGGCCTGACTCCCAGCACCAAGAAGACAAAACAAAACAAAAACAAAAAACAAAACCATACACTAGAATGCAAACTGACAGAAGACTCACCTATTTCTGCAACATTTCCAAAACAGTTAATGTCTCTGATTTAAATGGCCAGAGTACCAGTGGGAGAGACTAAGCAGATGACAATAGCTACTAGGCTTCAGGCTCCTTGGGGAGGGACTGAACCAGAGTCTGGAATCAATGGACTTTGACCACTCATGGTCTATAAGGCCTATAAATGAGAGCACTAGTGATTGACTAACTCAAATCACAGAATAAAAGTCTCAGTAACAGAAGAAATTAAATTACCAGGTTAGCCTTCAATTCCTGTAATATTTTTTTCTCCTGCCTGTTTCTCTGTCTTCTACACATTCCGTCCTTACTGGCTACCTTCTTTTAGAACCTAGAAGTTGAAATGTTAGGTACTCAACTGCTAGTCCAAATATGACTCAGGATTGCATACTGAGAACCCAGGTCAAAGTTAGAGGGGATGAAAACATCAGCATTTTGAGAGATTTCTCAGCTTCGTCTAGCTCAAATCTAAACCAGCAACTGAATTCTCTACAGCTATTGGCTTGCTAAGAGCCTCTCCAACTAGGTCTAGAAGGGGAGTCAATAAGCTTTCACAATGTTCTAATATCTAGAGGGCTGACAACACAGTCGGATCCTTCTATCCATCAGACCAAATCTGAGAAAATAATTGTCCTTCTAACCATCCCTCATCTCCTCAGGTAAGTGGCCTAGAACTCAAAGCAACCTACCAGCTGACAGCTCAGCACAATAAGGCAGACACTGTTATATAGGGCACAGCTGCCGGGGAAGCTGTCCCCCAGACTTTTGCTAAAGGGTAAAGCCAAGAAGTCTAGCAAGGGCAAACTCTAGTAAAGTGCCTTTGGAAGCATGGTGGAGTGCACACATTTAATCGGGGCACTCAGGAAGCACAGGCAGGTAAATTTCTGCTTGAGTTCCAAGAAAGCCTGGTTTGCATAGTGAGTTTGAGGCCTGCAAAAGCTATACAGGGAAACCCTGTCTCAAAAAAACAAAACAGACAAACAAATCACCTCAGCATGATCACCTTTGGAATGAGTCTCTTGGGAATAAAGACAAAATAACAAGAGTAATCCCAGCTTACATGACAAGCTTCCATCCAAACTCACCTCCATCAGATCTAGTACAAACTCTTTTCAACTCTGCATCTTACATATCTTTTAACTTTCCTTCACTGTAGGGCCAGAATTAGCTCCATAGCTTTTTGTTTCGCCTTTTCTTTCTTCCCTTTTGGCACTGTAAACCAAACCCAAAGCTTCGTGCATACTAGGCAACTGCTCACCGAGCCAGACCACACTCCCAGCCTTCCTCCACAGGTTAAGCCCTTTCAAACTGAATTTAGGCAAAATACGTAAGAGCAACATTTTTGCCTGCTCTGATTGAATTGAGCACTGTTTGTGGGCATGGCAACACACAGCCATACTGGGAGAGGAGGGCACTTAGCCTCTAGCAGCCATGCCCTGGTAAGTCCTTTCCTCCGTCTGCCTAGGCATGACTACACAAGAGATATCGACATCTCCCGCCAGCTGTTTCAAAGGAGAGACTAGCAGTATCCCAAGACTAGGTAGTAGGGTATTAGATACCAAAGCCCTTTTTCATTTGCCAAGACTGATACATTCCATGTGACAAGAGCAAAAAGGTTGCCTGGGAATGCATGTCTACAGGCAATGGAAACTCTGGCTGTTCTAATAGCTTACAGTAGCAACAAGGTAGCTGGCAGGGTTGGAGGCAGGCCATACAAAAGTCAGTCACTATTCAGGGGGAGGAGATTACCTCTAGGATTTCCTACAATAGAGCAATTAGCTAGAATATGACACCGCCTTCTCCTTCTGTACTAAGAATGGAATTCAGGGCATTGTGTATATTAGATAAGCACGAGACCACTGAGCTCTATCCCGAGCCACTTTTCTTTTTATCCCCTCAACTATTATTTTGAGACAGGGTCTCACTGGGTTGCCCAGACTAGCTTTGAACTCATTCTGTAGCTCAGGCTGTAAATTTACAATCTGCCTACCTCAGTCTCTCCTCAAGTAGCTGGGATTGTAGGTCTACATCACCAGGTATGGCTTGGAAACCAATTTCAACATGGCTTTTATCCTCTACCCTAGACAGCAGGTAACCCAGAGTTACCAGGTTACAAACCTGTTCTCCCATGTAATGCTCTTGAGTTCTTCCAGGATACACTGTACACATGGGGAGAGGTTATTCCACACCTTAATAGCTTGAGGTAAATGTCTGTATTTCTCCAGCACCTGACAGCAAAAACAGTCAATCAGAAGTGCAGCTCTGCCATGAAACCACCCCAAACTCCTCCAGGATGCCTTCTCATAGCACCTTGGCACTGCCCTAACAGGACAAAGCATGCATGATGGGCCCACAACTCCTTTATTGGCCCAGCAACTAAAAATGACTAGCTTTTCTTCTTCTCCCACTCTCGCCCCTCCAAATGCGTCTGTGGCTCCCAATCATCGGCTACTCTAATACTAGGTGTCAAATAGGAGGATATGGTTTGAGATGAGCAAAGATTTTTGGGCCAAAGGGTAAGGAACAAATGTGAGAAACGAGTTATGGGAGCAAGAGAATTGTTGAGACCCAGGTTCTTCTCCTAGTTCCATTGTTAACTGTATATATAACCCTGACTCTGTCCCTTCCCTGATCTAAGATTTCAATCTATCTGTGAAAAAGAGAGAATGAAGTACTTGGTTTCTGAGCCTTTCCATAAAAAGTACACCCTAAGCCTCATCTGATCTAGTGAGGCTCCTACGCCCCACCTGCTGGCCATCTTGAGAATCACAGCGTTCTACAACTGCAACCCATTCCCAGTTCTTTGGACCAAAGCAGAGTCCAACTTCATTATCTGCTACCTTTCACCAGTTCACAGGACTGCCTGATCAGACTCTGCTTGTTTCCTTCCTAGTTCCCGCCCCCTCCAAGGAGTACCTTCATGCTTTGTCACCTTTCTTCCAAATTCTCTGAGAAGTTCCCTCATGCTTTGCCACTTTCAAATTCTTTCTCAAGATTTCTCTCTCAGGTAGCTGGCGAGAGGGAAGAAATGACTGGGGCAGGTGACAGCATGCCGCATCAAGGACACTTACCTTAAACTGCTCCTCTTCATATGACACCAGAAGTTCCCGTGCTTTTTCTGAAAACAGAGTGGAAAAAAGTTAGGGGAGGAAGCCCAGCCTCCCAGTCGCTCTGGGAATCTGAGCCTCTTGTACTTCATTTCTTGAGCTGTAAATTGAGAACTAAAATTCCTTCCCACTTCCTTCACATAACTCTAGGAAAGCGATGGGGCAAATGCAATCCCCATTACACCATGGAAACTATCCCAGTAAGAGAGTCTGTAACAGTAACTTTTATGCTGCAATGCACCACAGCCCACAGAAAATGTTCTGTCAAGGAAATAAGCAGTACTGACCTCCAGCTTGAGTGCTCCACGCACACGGGCCCCTCTCTGCCCACACGAATACCTACCATACAACTCCTTATGTCTTGGACTCGGTTCTGGATGAGGAGCCGCCTCTTTATTGTCTTTATTGTTTGCATCATCCTCGACGGCCAACTCATCCTCTTTGTCATCATCCTGAGGCTCTGGGTTCTCTTCCATTACATCATCAACAATAATTTCACCTTCCTCTTCTTGCTGTTCTTCTATCTCTATCGGGTCCTCTTCCAACTCCCAGGTCTCTTTCAGGCTGTCCTCCAGCTGACGGCTCCAGTATGTCTTCTGGAGCCAACTCAGGACAAAGTAGCAACCTGGAAGACGTGGGGGTGTAGGGGGAGATATGCCATAGAATCAATTATGGGCAAGTGACCAGTAGGTCCCCAGCTCTCTGGACCTCTATTCTCATTCTGTATGTATACATGGGAAAGTCTAAGGAAGAGACATGGCTCCAGTGCTCAAACCTCAAATAGCCACGTCTGGTTTAGCCTGTTCTCTGTATTCTTCCTGCTCACTAGTACCTTTCCCGCGGGGAAAATAATAGTGGTCTTAGACATGGGTGCCAAGAAAAGCAAGGGGTGGTTAATGGGGGAGCTGAAACCTAGCTACACCAGATACAGCTTTCCTTTTCTAGATCTCAGTAGTCTGATTACAACAGGAGATAAAAATCAGGGATCTTTAATCAAGATGGAAGGAATATAAAAACAATGCCTGGGTTCAAGATATTATGGTTTACACCTCTCAACCCACCCCTTCAGACCTTCATAGCAAAATTTAAGAGGAAAAACTACGCTATAATTAAAATATCAAAAAGGGACTACAGAGATGGTTCATCAGCCAGGAGCAATTGCTGCACCTACAGAGAACCCAGATTCAGATCCCAGTACCCAGAGACAGTGGCTCACGACAGCCTATAACCCTGGTTTCAGGGGCCCCAGCAACCTCTCCGGGCCTCCACTGGTACCCAGAGACAAAAAGCAAACACACAGTCATGTACATAAACAAAACTAACTCTGAAACTTAAAAAAGGACCAGAACAGTGAACAGTACACTGGCAAGTCATATTGAATACAAAACAAGTTAATACTAATCCTGGTTCATTTTTCATACTTTCCACATGGATTTTTCCATATGAAAATACTACATTGTGCTCACTAACCTTGTGAAAGACCCTTATTACTGTAGCCAAAATGAGCCCACAATTTAATTCACCCAAGTTCTGGTCCTGACACCAGGTAGAATCCTGCTCTCTGTCCCCCTTCCCCAAATGCCACCCAGCCCAGGCCCGTGAGCTTAAGTGTGATAGGTATCACACCCACTGACACTCACCTCTGCGGCAGTCATTTATATGGGGCATTTTCTTGTGGGTCAACTTGTGGCGAAGTTCAACAATCCAGTCTGGAATGTTCACCTGATTAGGGGTAGAGCATGAGTTTAGTTAGAAATGAGAAAATAATAAAGCTTGCAGAGATTCAGGGATGAATCACCCTGACCATCCTTCCCCAGTGAAGACTCCAGTCTTACTGATAACCATGATTAAAATGCAGGGTTTCTGATTTTATTTTACTGCTCATTGGAAGTAGTGCTAAAATAAGGAAAGGTGACTACCTCCACCCACTCTTCTTCAAAAGATTTTTGTGAATGAGCATTAGTTCTCAGCTTCCCTTTGCCCTTTCCTTCTTCTTTTTTTTTTTTACGAGACAGGGTTTCTCTGTATTGTTTTGGAGGCTGTCAGTCCAGCCCGGCCTCGAACTCACAGAGATCCGCCTGCCTCTGCCTCCCGAGTGCTGGGATTAAAGGCGTGAGCCACCACCGCCCGGCCCTTTCCTTCTTCTCAGATACCTTTATCCTTCCTTGCCTCCCAAAAGAGCTCCAGGAAGTTTTTTCATTACTGAGAACACACCCACCCTCAAAGCCCCTACACAACATACTCACTGAGTCATTTTCTTGCTACTTGGCTGAGCTGTTTCTTTCCTCAGATTGCCAGCTCCCAGAGGGCAGGCATTTTGACTACTACCCTCTTTTGTGTCCCTACCCAGTGATATGGTCACTTTCCTCACTTTCACTGGGCCCCTCCAAACAAGCAGAGCTTGCCAAGCCCACTGAAAAGCAAGTAATTAGAAACATGGCAGCAATCTGCTCCTTTAAAACTGGACATTCAATCATCAAGTCACAAAGTTTCTGGTAAAGACTCCAACAGCACTAATCCTAAGATTCAACAGATGGGATTGCATGACAGTTAAAAGTTTCTGCACGTCAAAGAAAATAACAGAACAAAGAGACAGCACATCTTAGAAAAACGGGAGAAAAATCTTTGCCAAGTATATATCATATAGGCATTAATATCTATAAAGAATACCCAAAATTAAATAAAACATTATCCAATCAATAAATGTACTAATGTACAGTTCTCAAAGAAATGTGCATGCTCAATAAATATTTGAAAAACTGTTTAACAGCCTTAGCACTTAAGGAAACATAAATCAAACTTTTTTCAAGATTTGATCTCAGCCCAGTCACAATTGCTAACATTAAGAAAACAAACAACAGTACATGCTGGTGAGGATGAGGGGAAAAGAACACCCAAATCCACTGCTGGCAGGATTGTAAACTGGTATGGCTATAGAATCAATAGGGAGCTTCCTAAATAGTTAAAATTAAAATTATCATATGATCCACCTACAGCACTCCTGGGCATATTCCCAGGGATTCTAAATCAACATACCACAGAAATACTTACATATCCACGTTTACTGCTACCCTGATTCACAATAGCTTCAATATATAATGAGCCCATAGGTCTATCAACAACATACATGAAAACAACATGGAACATATACAGAATGAAATTTTACTCAGCTATAAAGAAAAGTGAAAGTAGGAGATCTTCAAGAAAACAGATGAAATTGGAGATCAGTATTTGAAGCAAACAAAACAAGCCAGACTCAGACCAGTCAACTATTTCATAAACTTTCTCATATGCAGAATCTAGATTTAAATTTATATTCCTATGTGTATTGTTTAGGGCATGACTATAAAAAGTGGGCTGTTGGGAGAGAGAAAGGATCTGAAGAGAGGGACATGGAGAACAAGCGAGGCTAATAGAAGCATTATTTGAGAAGAGGGGGATGGGACAGCAGTGAGGGACACGTAACAAAGCTGAACAATCTATGTAGGAATGCTGCAGTGGAACACAGTATTTCACAAAAGATGAAAACACAAAAGCTGAAAGCTAAAGGTCTACGTGGTAGTGATGAGCTTAAATGGTTGCATTCGTTACCCTATGACCTATTTAAGAAGCCCTCCTAGAAAAAGGAAATGTGCAATGCCATTTTATCATACATACCTCCTGAGCCAGGTACTTGAGGGGGAGGTTAGAACATTTGGTCTTCCTCTCTGAGATAAGATTCACAAACCTGGGTTGGAAAAGAAATAAGTGTCATAATACAAAAAACTGTTTTATCCAAAATTCCTTGTGGAAGTTACTGACACCTTATATTTCTACAATCTTTTTTTTTTTTTGCTAATTGCCCTATTCTTAATGATTGGTACCAGCCAGAGCAGGGACATTTCCATCCACCCCAACATTTACTGAGGTCTATGCTATGTACTGAAACAATACAAATATATACAACAGTGTTCTGGTCTTGGCAAATTTGGTCTGGAATAATCATGACACATTATGCTAGAACACAATATGCTATAAATGTCAGAACAAATGACTACATCAAACAACATGGGAGAACAGATAAATGACAGAAACAAAGGACGAAGGGGAAGACATCAAGAGAATGGAACTGTATAAGGCTTTGAAATATGAGAAAACTCAGTGGTAATCCTCCCCCAACAAGGTATGAAATTGTCAGAACCACTGTAATTCAGGTAAATCGAAAACTCCCAGCCTGGTCTTTTCTTCCACAATTCATCAATCATTCGGCTTTCGGAGGGAAGAGAAAAGAAAAAAGCTAGTTCCAGGAACCCACTCCACCCCCGTCTGTATGTGTTGGTGGTGGGGGTACGGTGAGATGATTGGACAATCCACAGTAAATTAAAGCGATGAACCACTCAGAAAAGTTTCTCTGAGCTGGGAACAATGGCAGAATTCTACAATTCTAGCACTAGGGAGACAGAGGCAAGAGGATCACCCTGGAGTAGAAAGTTGCAGACCAATAGGGGCTACATAATGAAACCCCGTCAAAACAGTTCTTGGTGAGAAGTTAAGAGAAGTTAATAAGGGGGAAAATCCGATTGTCAAAGCTGGGTTGAATCTAAATACCTCACATGTTCTGAATTTCACACCCCCTCACAGCCTACACTTGGATCTGAATACCCCACACGGTCTGAATTTCACATCCCCCAGACCTACACATATGCCAGAAGGGAAGGAAAAACAGACGAGAGAAGGTTTTCTGGAACGGAGGAAAAGATTGTGTGGACAAGGCATAATCACCGGCCAAGATAAACAATCACAAAGACCCACCCAGGGATTTTTAAAGTTTCAGGTAGCACCTGAAGCCAAGTTTTTTTTTCATCCATGTTTACCCACCTCCAGTCCCCAAAGCCACCCCCTCTCCCAGTCTTACCCCATGAAGGTCTTACCTGACCAATGCCATGCCATAGAGCAGTCTAAGTTCATCAGTGCCCAAGCCACCAGCTACATCCATGAGCTTACATCGTATCAGGTCAGCAGTAGAAGCCACTGCCAGGGGCAGTTCGTTGCCTAACCTAAAGGGCCACAGTCCAGCACCATCATAAAAGTCCTGACATTGTTCCACCCTCTACCACAGCATCTTGGGTGTTGCGCTATACTCCCATTGCAAACTGAAAAGTGCGTGGAGACACAAACCACTGTGGGAAAGACAGAGTAAAGTTCCCGAGAGCCAACAGTAATGCAGTGAGAAGCTGGCTGCGATACACAGGGCATCTTAACTGCTACAGTCACCAACAGTTGTGTGGACACAGTTCATTCTCTCCCCCTCAAACTATTCAGCTGGAGAAGTCCCAAGTCTCGATACCCACCCACCCCCAAACTGACCTGAACTGTCGCCTCAACCCTGCGTCTAACCTAAAGGGTCACAGTCCAATCCCTAATTGGAATCAGAAAGCCACCCTAGCATGTCAACGTACTCTTTTAGTCCTGGCTCAGGTCCCCTCCACTTGGCATGTAAAGCTTAAACCTCACATATATAAAAAAAATTATTGGGACGTACACCCCATTTTTCACCCACGGGATGATTACAAGAGCTTGGCTGCAACTTTCCCCGCAGGCATTTGGGAGAGAGGTACCCTAAGGCAATCTCAGGGGAAGGCTTCAGAAAGTATAGCTGTTGGGGAACTCGACCGAGGAAGCAGTGAGGCACCGCCGGCAGCCAGGCAAGAAGGCTGACCCCGCCGCCGCCTTACCTGCTCCTCCACACTGTAATACGGTTCAGCGCATACTGCTGCAATTTCTGATCATCGCAGAACAGATAAACCGTCACTTGATCCCACTCAGCCCTGCTGAGCCAGGAGACCACGATACCCTCTGGACTCGGCGGCTCAGGCTGACTGTCTTTGAAGGACTGTCCGTCCCACGCACGCCACACGCGATCCATCTCTGGGGGCCAAGACCAGGTCTAGTCCTGGGATTCCACCAGAGCTGAAGAATGCCGCGGGTCGCGCGCTTCCAACACTTTCCCAGTTAACGTGCAACCCTCGCTTCAAGCGGCGGCCACCTCGTCAGCCAATTGGAGAGCGAGACCCCGACGCAAGCCCGCCTCTCAGCGTCAGGGGGGCCAATTAGAACGTGGGACATGTGTCCCACGTGCAGGATTACGGCGGCATTCGCCACCGGAAGTGTTCTTCTCACAAAGCAGCCTTACCAGAACTACATTCGCCACCGGAAGTGTTCCTCTCACAAAGCAGCCTTACCAGAACTACGAGTGTTCAGCTTCTAGGTTCCGCTCATTTCCTGGGGGGGGGGTTGCGTGTCTTCTGTCCCTGACAGCAACCAGCGCCCCCTGGCGGTCTATAGAGGAATTGTACTGGATTACTGTACTTTCCTGGTAATGCTTTGTAAGGAAAAAGGGCAAACCAAGAAACACACCCTGAGCAGAGCCAAAGAAACACACTTTGGCCCTGCAAACAGAACCAAAGAAATGCACCCTGACCCTGAAACCAGTGCCAAAGAAACACACTTTGTCCCTGGAATCAGAGTCAGTGAAATAAATACACCCTGGCCCTAAAATTAGAGCCAAAAGGCTAAAAAGAAACACACTTTGGCCCTGAAACCAGAGCCAGATCTGACCCTGAACCTGAGCAGAAAACCAACCATTCCCTGAGCAAGAGATCTAGTCGGTCTGAGCTCAGGGGTTGAATTCTGACCAATGCCCACCCTGGAAATCTTCCTGGAAAAAGTCCGCATCCTAAAAAATCTTATATAAACCCTGTGTCTGTTCAGCTTTGGCTGTTCCTGCTGTTGGGCTGCCCTCTTCCACCCTGGCAGAGGACAGCCACTGTCCTGGATCCTTCCCTCCCGATAAATCTCTTGAATGAGGTTTGGGTGAGACATTCTTTCAAAGGAATGAAACAGAGGGGAGAATTAACAACTTTTCACCAGAGCCAGAGCAGAGCTGAGCGAGCCAAGTGATCACCAGGAAACCTTCCCATACCGAAGCAGAGTTGTTACACTACACCCCAGGGGACCAGAGCCAAATTGTAAGAACTTTGCTAGGGAAATCCTCTCCTGCAGGAGCAGAGCTCTTACACTGGGGAAGCCTTCCCCTGAAGCAGGGCTGTAAGCTGCTATGCTTACTGTGGCTGATAGTATTCTTTGGCCCCCGAGTGCAAGAATACCTTTCCATCTGAGTTGTAACATTCAATATTCTTTGGCTCCTGAGTGTCAGAGTGCCTGTCCATTTGATACAATCTGCTCCAATGCTTACATGTTTAAAGTTATGATTTTTATCTCCATAAACAGTTCCTAATCCAATAGATGACTGTGGACATTGAGGAACAACTACAGAGAAAATACCATATTTAGGTGAGACTGAGTAGAACAAAATCTACTTTCTAGACAAGTACAGAGTAAATTGATACCAGCCTGTTTGGAGGAATGAAAGAGAACAGTGTTCGAGAAGGTTCAGGACCGGGCAAAGATGGCAATGGGGTGGGGAAGATGTCAAGATGAGCAAAGGGCAAGACTGTGCATGTATGAAAATGTCATAATGAAACCCATTATCTTATATGTTAAATAAAAACATTAATAAGAAATAAGTAAGTTGGTATGTGCCTGCTGCACGGTAATTTGAGGCCAGAGTAGTAGAACTAGAATTATCTCGAGAGTATGGATGCCACTATCAGTGTGGTCTTGGACAAGTCTCTGGCCCTTTCCTGAGGTGGGTTTTGTTTTGTTTATTTGTATGGTGAGGATTTTAGTCTAGACTCCAGTTATCTACCATTGCTTACAATTGTAGGATTTTTAACACCTTGCTCTTGTTTTCAGTATACACAAAGGTACAATTACTGTTTCTGCAGAATTTCTTATGATCCCTTGATGACTTACTTCTATAATCCCAGCACTTGGGAAACTGGGGTGAAATTGCATGACGTCAAAACCAGCATATGAGTACCAGGACAGAAAACCTGGAAAACACTGTGAGACTCTGCCCCCAAAAACTAAAATATCATCATCAAAAGAATTCCTCAGGACTTGGAGCTTTGAGGAAGAAAACAACATAATGAAGCCTTTCCAAGAATTTATAGACTGGCCACAATATATTTAGGGTCTCCGTCCTTTTCACAGAAGTTATTTTCCAATTTAGCACTTTAGAGACAACAGGAGGTACCTGTCATATCATGGCTGTGATTGGCTCTTTTGTACTTAGCAGTGAGTCTTTCTCTGTATGTACTTTTCTCCAGCCAACTTCTCCTGAAATGTACTTCACCCAGAGAGAGGCAGAGTCGCAGAAGCGGAGTTGGAAGGACAGAGGCAGAGAGGCGCTCTGGGAGGGGTAGATGTGGAGGCAGATGCAGAGAGAGGTAGAGACAGAGGGGGAGAGGGGGAAATGCAGAGGTAACGGGGGAGGCAGTGACATAAGCAGAGAGGCAGAAACGCAGAGGCAGAGATTAAGAGAGGCACAGAGGCAGGGGCAGCGGCGAGCACCTGCACGCACTTGATCCACAGACATACATGCAAACCAAACACTCATACACATAAAATAAATGTAAAACAATTCAAACGGAGGCTTGGGTTCTTTATACTTATCAAAAGGAGAGCCAGAGAAACACTACAGCAATGCCTTTGCTCTTTTAAGCCTCTGTCTTTTCTTGCCAAGAAAGCAGATTAGCACTACCAGGAACATTCTCCTTTCTTCCCTGTTTCTGTCAAACCGCTGTTCATCTTTGGTAATCAAGATCATTGGTCAAATCCAGTTTACCCATAAGGAGTAAAGGAACAAAAATGTATAGGAGTCATCCTGAGAAACAAAAAGGAAGGGTCATGGAATTTGTCACAGCAATGTGACCCTTGACTATTCATTAGCTGTTGGGTCTATTACATCCTTATCTGAATGCCCGCACTCACTTTGTGCATCCTTCTATTGGAGGAAAAGCTAAAAAAGAATCATTTAGCTGATGCTAGGCTTCCTGTAAACTTCCTGATAACATTGAACTTTGTCTGAACTCTGGAATCTAGTAAAGTGACTAGAGAAATCCCCCCACCTTTTTGTAAGGTTCCAAACTAGTTAGAAAGAACCACATTCCCTGTGCAAATTCTCTCAATTAATACTCTTTCCCTTACTGCCTGTGACTCCCATACCACTCATGGATGGCTTTCATATTTGCCTCCATCTACAAAGCCATCTGTTGTGGGGTTTTTTGTTGGTTTTTTTTGTTGTTGTTGTTTGTTTGTTTTGGTTTTTTGAGACAGGGTTTCTCTGCATTGTTTTGGAAGTTGTCCTGGAACTCGCTCTGTAGATCAGGCTGGCCTCGAACTCACAGAGATCTGCCTGCCTCTGCCTCCTGAGTGCTGGGATTAAAGGCGTGTGCCACCAATGCCCGGCTCTGTTGTGTTTTTTTTAAGAGTTCTCCTCAATCCCCCCAAGGAGGGCCTCACCCTCCCTGGGGAATGATGTGGGGATTGGGTGGGGGGCTGGGTAGCTGGTGGAGGGACTAGGGAGGTGGGGTGAGAGAGGGAGCAGGGATTGACATGTGAAGCATTCATGTTTCTGATTTACATTAAAAAATTTAAAAAACAAATAAAATAAAAATAAAGTTCTCCTCATGGCAATAGCCTTAATAAAATAAATCCTCCAATTGTCCTGTGAATTTTGTCATTTTACTGAGGTTGGTTCTGCTTTCCTTAATTTCCATATGAGAAATTTTCCATATGAGAAAGCTGAAGCTCAGTCCCATGTCCTCACGTGGCACTGGTGAGAAGGGAGGTAAATGAGACTGAGAGGTGCCCCCATGGTTAAGACGGTGGACTGTTCTGGCAGAGGACTGGAGTACAGATGGCTCTTAGCTCCACAGAGACCTAATGCCAATGGCATCATCTAGTACCTGCATCCATATGAATGTACCCACAAACAAATGCACATAATTTAAAACTATAAAGAATGGGGAAATTCGTTTTCTTGTAAGGCTAGGCTCAGTTTACAATTCTTGGTAACAGAGATGCGCCCTTTCTGCTTACACAACTACTTAAGACCATGAGAACAATAAAAGAAAGAGCCCCAGTGTTTACCATACCCTATGCCCACAGGTTTTTTTTGTTTTGTTTTTTTGTTTTGTTTTGTTTTTCGAAACAGGGTTTCTCTGTATTGTTTTGGAGCCTGTCCTGGAACTCACTCGGTAGACCAGGCTGGTCTCGAACTCACGGTGATCCGCCTGTCTCTGCCTCCCGAGTGCTGGGATTAAAGGCGTGCACCACCAACGCCCGGCCTGCCCACAGGTTTTTTTTTTTTTTAAAGATTTATTTACTGGATGGTTCCTGAGCAAAGGCATTGCTGTAGTGTTTCTCTGGCTCTCCTTTTGATAAGTATAAAGAACCCAAGCCTCCGTTTGAATTGTTTTACATTTATTTTATGTGTATGAGTGTTTGGTTTGCATGTATGTCTGTGGATCAAGTGCGTGCTGGTGCTCGCGGCTGCCCCTGCTTCTGTGCCTCTCTTAATCTCTGCCTCTGCGTTTCTGCCTCTCTGCTTATGTCACTGCCTCCCCCATTACCTCTGCATTTCCCCCTTTCCCCCTCTGTCTCTACCTCTCTCTGCATCTGCCTCCACATCTACCCCTCCCAGAGCGCCTCTCTGCCTCTGTCCTTCCAACTCCGCTTCTGCGACTCTGCCTCTCTCTGGGTGAAGTACATTTCAGGAGAAGTTGGCTGGAGAAAAGTATTAAGCAACACAGCTTCTCACATACTGTTTGCAGAGCGGGAGAGGTAGTCACAGTCAGCAGAAAGCTAAATCAGACAATGATGACAAAGGCAACGCAAGATACCTCAGACACAGCTCCGTGGGACTGATAACCACAGGCCAAAGGGAAGAATCAGATCCCAAGAAACTGCAACCTTGACTCCTTTGAGGCCCTGGTCCAAGTCCCAGAAAAGACCCTGCCAAGTGTGCCTCCTTGTCCTTTCATCAGGACCTCTGACAGAGACTTGGATGGGACTGGCTCCCAACAGGTTCCACCCTTCTTTTTAAAAATTTTAATTCCAGATGAGTTATTAGTGTCTCAATGTCTA